ATTAAAATTTGTATTGCATATATATATGATTTATATATTTTTGTATAGTTAAAATTCAGATACTTATTAAAGCATAGTTAATGAAGTGTTTAGTGGTGGCTAGATATGTGGTTAGGACAATGCTAACTTAAGAAAAAGTTATTTTTATAGTGGTTAGTCAGCAGGCTATATATATCATGTTGGCATGGCAGTCAATGAACATCTGAGTCTCTACATGTAAAATATTGCAAGTGTAAATTGAGGTGGGATAATTTCTAAAGAAAATAGTGTGATCTTAGCCTTTATTTTCTATTAAATTCCATATTAATACTGAATTTGGGTTCTTCTGCATTTTTTCACTTTCCTTGCTATTGAAGGCAAAGTGTAGATACCAGCACTGTAAAAGCAGAGACATTTACTAAAGAAAAAACACCAAGATAAGTTCATCTGGATTCACTCCTGCTTACTCTTAACTTGGAAATTCATTTAAAGAAAATGATACGCAATAGCATGCGAGGTGGATCGTTTAAGAAATAGGTTGCATTCATTGGAAAATAGCAAATGATGGATAATTTTGAAGGAATGGCATCTTTTAGGAAAATGTCAGACAACTACTTTTCTAGGGACTGTTTCTAATCTACTCTGATAGTGCATAGAATTTTTCCGTATCTATTATTAGTCATTCAGTAATGGCCTATTAGTGCAAGCATTTGCGTGCACTTGAAACTCCCTGAGAATTTGCTTGTCAGTAGGCAGATCACAGACAGATTTTCTGAATTTGGAGAGAGGAGTTTTAAATGCTACTCCCTTTACTGCATTTATTCTTGATTCGGCCTTAGTGCTGAATTGACACTTGCAGTTCTCAGACTTTGTATTTAAACATGATACAATACTGAATAGGTGAAGACTACTTTTTAGTATAGGGTGAAATAAGGGGTACTGATAGTGGTGTACGGACCTACATGACAGCTGTATTTCTAAAAAGCAGTTAAAACACCATAATCTTTGAATTTTATGAAATTTTATGGCTAAATTCTTAATCTGACAGCTGGTATGAAATATTGTTTGTTGTTACTACAATATAAATTTAAACCATGAGCAAGGAATCATTCTCTACACGGAGTAAAAGGACATCACTTCTTTTGGACAGGCATAAATATTTTGTGAAGTTTGGCACCCATCTGGTCAGAAAACTGATTTTTTTTTTTTTTTTAATTGCACTTGGATCATAATGACATATAGAATTTTGTGGTGTATCATTTTTCATAACCAATTTTTCATAATTAATATATCTGTATGTATCTGCTCATATATCTGTATGTATCTCCTTAAATATTTTCTTTGTGCAATTCAAAGGCTAGAGAAGGTTCAATGGCTAGGATGCATTATATCATACCAGTTGATTAGAACTGAAATATTTGACTCTTTTTCAAGTCTTATTTCATAGCATGCTCATTGTTTCTTTGGCAGTTATGGCCCATGCCTTGTGACTCACAGGAGCTAAGACAGGCAGAATTGCAAGTCTTTTTTTAAACCAACGTCCTGCAGGATGAGTCAGGCTTTAGATCTGGCCTTTGTCCTTCCTTTACCTTTCTTCTTGTCATTTGTCCTACCCCACGGTTATAGTCTCTCAGAATAGCATATTCCTGATTTTAGTGCAATTTGTTCCTGATGAATGCCAGAGAAAATTATACAAGATGCTAACTTGTCATTCTTAGGGAGGCAAAACTACTTTATATTGAGTTGTAATGGGCCCTTTAAAAAACAAACCCCAAGTTTCCAGCCTTCAGTGCCACCTCTCTGCAAGGTTAGCTTGCTGGGGTGTAACCTCTTACTTCAGGGGTCATCTTGATTTTAGTAGCATCATCAGTAAATTGTCCAATTAATCTATGCTCCAAAAAATTTAAGGCCCACTTCTTCTAGCACAGTGTCTTTTACACTGTCGTTTCAGAAGCAGCAATCTAAAAGAGAGGAAAGATAACATGTGGAACATTGTGTTGCCTTGCTGTAAAATAAATTAAGAAGTAATTTTCAAGGAGAGAATGATCACTGGATGTAACAAAGTTATTTTTCTCTACAGCAAGTTTCTCCTTGGCAGATTTTCTTGTGTTTCACGTTTTTTCTAGATTGTGCTTCTGCGCACAACTGTAAGCAGATAGTATCGTACAAAAGCACAGCAAATCAGTCATCCCTGTCTAACCTGTGCTTTAGAGGACAATTTGATTTCTGCTTCTACCCAATACGCTGGTTGTCTATGCCAAAGATCTGTTCTTCCCTTGCCCTCTTGCAAGATGGTATAGCAAGCACCTAGTTCCTGCATAGCCAAAGGTAAAGAGGAGCTCAGCTGCTGAGAAGTTTTGCTTTCTTCCCCTGCATATTTGAGATGAATAGTTTCACATTTGGATGGACTTTGAAAGCAAGTTATCATTTAATGGTAACAATGCCTCTATAAGTATATCAATCTATTTTGATGGCAAATTCAGGGAAGGTCATGGAGCGATATGCTGCAAGGATACGCTTTTGTTGAAAATATGGAAAACTTTAGTCATAACATACTTTAAATAGCTTGGGTTGATTGACGGTATGATAGGTTTTAGCAAGTCATCCTAGAGCTCTTTAGAACAGAATGAATGTTTGTTAGTTTGGAGGAAATACGTCGGACCAGATTGCACACGTCTTCAGTGTTTCTGATAACACAGAGTTTTAGGAGTTTTAAGTCTACCTCAGACCAGGAGACTGTCAGCTGTGTCCATTGCAGGGGTAGGAAAAAGTACAGAAACACAGGAAACAGTGCCATTTTCCTAATGGCATCGTCTTCATCCGCTTAATAGGGATTCAGACTCACTCAGATGCTTATCTGAGCTAGATGATAGGATATCTAAAAGGTCATTTTCTTGACAATTGAAAGGAAAAATAATTTATCCTATAGAGAACAATTTTCTGTAATCTAATTTTACATCTAATATGAAAAACTTGGCCAAGTAATAGCTAGATAATATAGGTGGTGGAGAACTCTACTCTCACTGAAAACAATAAGCTCTCTTGCATAATCACATTGTAGAACAAAATGCTAAAAAACATTCCACTGGAAAGCAGAAACTTCTGCACAGGAAAGTAGTACAAACATCTTTGTGGCTCTGTGATGCTGAATAGTGCTTATCAGCACAATATGTCATCATCCTGCTGCTGCTGAAATTTAGGTTCATATTTTTAACTTGTGGAACAGGTTTATTTTAGATTTAATTCCAGTTTTTTAATTCACGTTTTCAGATTTTGATATATGCAACAGGTTTAGCGGTGCACTGACAGAAAAAGGGAGGAAATTTATAATCATCTGGCTATGCCAGGGAGTTGAGAGTTAAAGGAATGCTGTTAAATTACTAAACCTAAAATGTAGGTTATGTAAACTAAACAGCTTGGCTCTTGCTATTTATTACTTGGGTACTGTTTTCCTTTAAAGATGTTCCAGGCTCACAAGGTAAATGGATTCTACACTCAAACATTTGCTGTCCTAACTACAAAGTACACTAATGATAAGTATAAAATTGGATAATAATATTATACTATTCAAGATGAAATACAGAAAGAAAAAAAAGAATAATAATGTGCCTTTTACGGTAAAAAGTAAGTAGGACATTATTTCAGTTTGAGCTGTACAAGATATGATTAGTAACACAGATAAGTACTACCTTGTTCAAATCCTTCCAATTTGAGAGGAATGATTCAAGTGCTCACAGATATATTATATATAATGTCTGCATGCGTATGTATAGAATCAAAACTGATTCCCACTATACTCTGTGGAACTTTACTATTGTGACCAGTAAGAACATGACCAGGTTGTTTGTAAGAACATAGCGTAAAGGTTGCGATGTAAAGGAATTACAGAAGTGGTTTTCCTCTGATTCGCTCACTGCATATTACTTGAAATTTGAAATTTCAGTGTGCTGTTCTCCATGTTTCTATATTTGGCATTGTCATACTTTAATAACATTTCTAAAATGCTTTGAGATCCTGTACATTTCCTATAAGCACATGGTACAGTCTATTTCTGTGTCTGCTTTACATTGTACTCCAGATGGCATTGATATATTTTTGGTATGTGCATCTTTGTGGCTCCTCTGGGGACAAAAATTAGGAATGATAAGCATATTCCTCGAAATAAAGACAGCTTTTCAAGATGAAGTTTGTATGTTATGCTCAAAGCAGGAAAGTTGACTAAGAAAGCATATCATACATTGTGGAAAGTAATATCTCACATTTACATTTTATTTTAAGGTTTTTTTCTAATTGAATGAGATGGTAGCTGACTTAAAAATCCAGTTTTGTGATATTCACAGAGCAAGTCTGCTTGAGAGAACTAATGCATTCTGTTCTTTGTGCTCTTGCTTGGTGGCTAAATTGTTTGGTTTTGGTTTTTTTTCCCCTTCAGTAATATAGCTGTCATTAACGAGGATTAGATGAAGGGTTGTTGTGTGGGTTTTTTTTATTTCATCTGGGATAAATCCTGTAAGAGTTGGCTGATTATACGACCTCTGCCTTCTGCATACTCGCTTTAACCAGAAGACAGATATGTAAAGTTGCCAAAGAAAATAATACACAGTAAACAATTCCCTTTATGTACGTGAACTATGGATATATTCTTTATGAGAGTACCTGTTCATTCCAAGTGAGCAGCAGCATGTTTGTGGGTTTTGGATCGATGGGTGTGGTTCTTTGGTGTATCTGAAAGAAGCTTATGTGGTAATATCCGGATAGAAGATGGCTTTTAAGCTCTAATACATCATGGATCAGAGGAGCATCTGCACTGCCTGCCTGCTGCTGTGATTTGTTTTGTCCATCCAGTTTGTGATACTCTTAGTCTGTTTTGTGAGGCTGAGTTTTGTATTTGAATTAATTCTGTTTGTTTCATGCTAACAGAAATGAACTAGATTATACTAAAATATCTTTTGGTAAGAACGTGTAAAGGTGAACGTTGTATTATCCTGTGTCCAGTTAAACAAATCTGCTTCCAAAAAGAAGTTCTGTTAAAGAAAGGACTCTGAGCTGTCTCTCCGTGTTGATAATGCATTAGCAAAAAGAAGGGTAAAAAAATATATGACTGTCTTTGGTGTGATGCTGTGACTGAAGACTGGACCACAATACTTACGTACAGTGCTCCTGAAGCTGAAGATACATAGTCATGATTCCCAGCAAGATTTTAGTCTACCACAACCCTTCTGGGGGCACGCGTACAGAAACTTATAGAAGTACTAGAAGGCGTAAAAAATCTCTTGGAGAATTGTTCCAAAATGGATATCGTGTCAAAGCTGGACATAATATTCCTGAAAAGGAAGAACAACATACTTTTCGAAACTCCTTGGTGTCTTGTTATAGGGTCGGCTCATACTGGGGTAAGGTCCAACTCTAAACTTTTTATTCAGAACTGTAGTTTGTGATTCTGTCTCTGGTGCTAGTGTTATTCTTTTATAAAAAGATATTATATTAATTTTTCAACTTCAGAATAATGCTGCAGGATTTTAGTTGCTTTATAGGAAAAATTCTTTCCACAACTCACATGCTGTAATGTGCCCATATCTCCAATATCTCATCAAAGGGATTCACTATTCACCTAGAATCAAGTAATCCAGTCTTTATTGAAGGATGAAATGTAATAATCTGCAATGGTGGAGTTGTTATAAGTATGGTGAAACTGCTGTCGTTATTTTAACAAGTGTAAAAGCCAGCCAAAGAAATGTGCAGCAGAGAGATTTAACAAGAAGTCTTTGATACAGCATTGTTTGAAAGCAGTTAGTATACAGCCGATGTAGATTGTTAACTTGATGCAGTTTTGCTGTCCTGGTTCATAGGGTATTGATTTTTTCATGTTGTGGGCTGTTTTCCCTGCTTATATAATTGCATAACAGAGGCAGGGAAGCGTTTCAAAATATTTTGGCTGGGTTGCTTCTAAGGAATGGCAGATTCTTTTCCTCCCATGCTATTTCTTCTTGTCTTGTTCTTTGAGCTTTCATTTTCAAACCTATCTACAGGGAGTGGAATCTCAGGTTACTCTCTTGTGTTGTGTGAAGGCATTCAGGATAGGACTATTTTGCATTCTAAAAATTACCCCTCTGTTACAGGCATCTCAGAAAATGTTCTGATTTCCTAAATATGGATTCTGGATTTTTCAGTCTTCAGTAAACCATATGGTCTTAATCAAATATAGGGTAGAAGCAGCCATTCATAGGTTTGGTGAAGATACCATTCTGATGAATGAGTGAATGGTTTGTCAGGAATAGAAATGATACACAGAATCTCTGTAGATTGAATCCTTATACCAGTATTTTGGATATGCTATTGACACAAAAAACAACATATGGCAATAAGAAAGGGATTATGTATCTCATTGATGAGAAATAATGTAATTCTTGGTGGTTTTCCAGTAGATTGACCTTTCATGATGAATGAAGAAATATCCCAATTCCTATTTCTATTTTTTTAGAATCTCATTAAAGAGAAATAAGTTTAGTTGTTGTGATTTCCTCCTCTTCACCTTTATAGATTTAAAATTGTAAATTTCCTTTCTTGAGGGTTTGTAGCCTATGGGTAATCCTGATTGCTGCTGTATATTAATCCAGTGGAAAGCATCTGTTCAAGTAAGAGACTGCAACACTGTCTGACAGACAGGAAAATACCATATTTTAACACCTTTGAGACTGTAAAGTCAAATAAAGTTTAAAATAATGTAGTTTGTTTTGCTGTAAACTTGCGAGAGAAAATAATTTTCTACTGTAATTGCATTGCTACTGGCACATAGTTTATTGGTCATGTTTATATCACTATTCTGGTCTAAAGCATCCATTTTAATGGATCCTTAGTAAAGAGTCAGAAAGCGATAGCTGGAGAGTATTTGCACCTCAGTTCACAGAACTGAACAAGTATGTAGTGAAATGAATAAAAATACTCCTGCTGTAATCTAGATCTAGCCCTATATTTCAACATAGCATATTGTTTCCTGTTGCACAGATGATTGATTTCCGTAATATTTAAGATTGTTTTCAGTTTTTTGGGTGGTATTTAGCCTCTTTTAGTGACCCTTCAAAATTGGCCTGAAAGATGTGGATATGTCAATTTTTCATATTTAAATTCAGCATATAGAATTTCAGAAGGTAGGCGTTTGGTCTCTGGGAGTCAGGTGTGATTGTTGGGGGCTTTTTTTATTGGGTGTTTTTTTTTTTACAAATTCCAGGTTGAACACTCAGAATCTGAAAAAAAATTACACCACACATGTTATCCAGGAAATTGCTTAGTAAAAATAATAGAACATATTGCACACATATTTTACATTTTCCAGTGTGCTTTGTAAATGGTCCGTTAGCTGTACAGGCAGCAAAAGTAGCTAAACAAATACTTTCACAGTAAGGAAAAAACCCCTGTGGTATGCTTGGAGATTCATTTGAATCATCGTACCTACAACTCAAATTATTGTACTAGAGGCAGAAAATATTGACTAAAATTGTCTCATATTATTAAAGGAATCTGGTTTGATAATCATAGAAGTTTTTTGTGGTCTAGAAATCTATGTATCTTTTATCTTTATCCTGGGCATTGCAACTCAAAGAAACTCTAGCTCAGAAGCATATTTTAGTCATTCATTTCGAAGCAGAAGATTGACAAACTGAATGGGCCCTTCATTTCATCAGTATATTTTTCTGGGATTAGAGAGGTTTTCTAGGTAAATTAAATCCTCCGATACTTTTTTTTTTTAATAAATTGTAGTAAGGAAAATTATGTCCTATTCCAGTCAGATCCTGTAAGAAAATTCCAATATAAAACCTCTTGTGCAAGAAAAAAGGTGAGTGACATGATGGAGACAAAACAGCAAGTACTTCCTGAGCATTCCATTCAGCAGTTTGCTCAATTAACTTTAGCTGGCATGATCCTATTAAATGTGTGAAATTAGAATAGATTTTGCTGTAACACATAAGAAATGTACCCTTTCTCAACTATTGATTATATCATTTAAATATAAAACAGTTTTGTAGTTATTTCATATTAAGAGAAATTATTCTTCCTCACCTGTATAAAATACATTCCCAAATATTGGAAAGGAAAGAGAGCTGCACACATTTGTGCCAGTAGCTGAGACAGCTTTGGGAAAATGGGAATTCTTGTTAGTGCTCCTATTACAGAATTGGTGGGCCTGAAAAGGATAACAACTTCTTAGTTGTGAGTCAAATTTGATTTGAAAACAGTGAGAGAGTACAGCATGGGGTGTTGTTTTACTGATTACATGTGATTAGTTTTCAGACAGGCTATTTTCTACAGATGCTTTGTCAATAATTACTCTTGAGTTAGACACATCAAAATCTTTCCTATTTAACTTGTTTTAATTTTGATCTTGTGTGGATTCATGGTAAGCTACCTGTTGAACAATTTAGGACATTTTCAGTTTGACAACAATCTCTTTGCAACAAGGTTATTGCTGTGAGGGTTACTGTGCCGTGAGTTTACGGATGCATGTATGATCACAAGCCCGCTTTTGCATGTCATTAATACCAGCACTGGAACAAAGTGCTGTGTGTACTTTTCCTCTGGGAATTATTCACATGATTCCTCATCACCTTGCTAAGTTCAAGGTGATATAAATAATCATAAGTTAAGGGGCAAACTCATCTGAGTTTTATGCTTACAGTTTATTCTCAGCAGCAGCTTTTTGTAGTATATTTGAAGAATAAGGCTGAAACCTCCAAATTAGCTGCAATCTTTCAAAATGCATGTAACTTACTAGAAGGTCAAGCAGTCAATGCTATTAAATGTTTTAAAGTGCCAAACAGATTCATTCAAAACCAGCACCTCTCACCCCTTTCGCAGTCAAGCTTTAGAAATAACTATTGAAGCATGGGAATTGCCCTTTCTCCCTTGTTTCAGTTCAGCTAGTATTAGTGGACATTGCCAATAGACCACACAAAGTCTTCACGTGGTATGATGTACTGGGGAGGTGTGCACACCGGTGCATTGTACAGTGTAATTTGTTCCTAATATGTTGAGTTGTTTTGGTTGACTGACTCTTTGTGCTAATAGTGTTATGGGGAGTAAACACTGCAGGTATAGTGGGTTTCACCTGCAGACAGTGAACTAACTGTTGCTTGTACACTCAGGCCCTGAGAGCAAGATACTGTGAGTGCCTGGAAACAGGGTTACTTAAACCTACCAGCTGCAGCCCTACCATTGTCCAGTCCTGTTACGTGTTTTGTTCAGATCACTTTTCAGAGTGTTTTTTTACACTGTTCTGGAATAGCCATCTCATTCATATTCCTGATTATACTACTTTAAATGGGCTTTTTTCCTGCTCAACTACAAGCCTTTCAGCCCTATTTGCAAACTCTCTGCCTTTCTCACCATGGTTTATAGGAAGAATGATGCTCCCAGTCTCTGCTTGTTTCCTCCTGACCCAGGTTCTCCTTGACTCTGACATCAAAGTCAAATGGATTTTTAAGCCCTCAGTTGGCTAGATTTTCTACTGAAGGGGATTATAAAACTCGGAAGTGAACCAGTAGATTCATTACTAAATCCAGTACCCTAACACGCTATCCCATTGAGGCAGATTGCATTCCTTGTTCAGCACCTGGTCAGGAGCAGCGAGTGTCAGGGCAAACAAAAATATTTTCCTGCAATATTCATTCTGCTGATGAAATTTATATGAGGTGATGTCTCTACATAGCTAGAAAGAATATTATATTCCAATTAGGTTTTCATAAAAAAGACCTTTAGAGGTCCTTTGAAGCAAAACTGAAAATATCATTTTAATGGGCCTTGAAAAGACTTGAAATACATATTTTTTTATGGGCTTCAAAGGTGTATTGCCATGAAGGGTGTTCCTAATCTTGATTTCCTATACATATTGATTTACCAGAGGACTTTTTTGATTAATATAGAATTTTATAATAAATACAAAAATTTAATATTTCTAACATGACTGATGTTTCTACAAAAGTTAATTAACTATGAACAGGTTGTCTATAAAATATGAAGAGTTAGCATCATACAGGATCACAGTAGTTTGTCTGTGAAGTTTTCAATGTATCACCCAGAAGATCTGCCTTTTCTTAGTGCCTTTTAATAGGGTTTATACCTTGTTATGTCCTGATACTATGAACATGGAAAGAGGTTCTTATTAAATACCTTTTTTTTGGCTAGGATGATGGAACTCACAGATTATTTGCAAGACAGGAAGTACAGAAAATCATATAAAATGGCATGTGTATAGGATCCTAATAACAGAACTGTTTGGATCTTGAAAAGAGTAGAATAATGGAAAGAAATCATTTGCCATCATGATAAGCAAAACTTATTTTCATTTAATTTTTGTTCTTTGTATTTGAACTAAACAAAGCAGGTAATACACTGAGGTTTCTTAAGATCAAAATTTAATCCTTTCTGAAATGATTCCTTTAGCTATAAAACACAGTCCCACAAGTAATATCCTAGACAAGATACAGAGGTTACAAGGTGATTGTAACCTTTTACAATTACAAGCCAGTTCCATTTGTAGTTCAAGCAAGCTGTTCAAGCAAAGTCTCCACTTTTTTTTTTTTTTTTTAAATATTTTATTCTCTGAAGGGAATTCTTTAAAATAGTGTAGGCTGTAGCAAATGCAGAACTTAATCCATAATGATTTTCTTCTGCCACAAGAAATGCACTGAAGCCATAGTCTGTTTGTTCTATCAGTCTGAGCAACTAAACTATATCTGTAGCATTGTAAGAGTTTGGAGGTAGAGGTTTTATTGCTAACTTTGATGTTTCTCAGGCTTCTTTTTGAAACATTGCCAGGGGTAACTTGGCCATCTTATTAACTTCAGGCGCAATGCAAAGCATTTGAAAGGAAGGGGTTTTTCCTCCCACCAGCCATTTTTCAAAAAGTTCCCAGGGAGTGGAGTGAGGAATATACCTGGATGGAACAGAGCTGAAGGTGTTTAGGCTTGCTAGTAAAGGCCCTCTCCATCCCTGTCCAGCCACATCTCTTTGGATAGAAGTAGCAACTGTGGGAATTACTGCAGGTGAAGCAGAGGGACATGTCTCTCTCAGTTTCAGCACTATGATCCAAAGTGATCATCCTATAATTGCAAATGGGTCTGAAGTTTATAATTATTAAACATTATTTTATTGTTTTTCATCTAGATCCCCAAATCCAATTTTCAAGTTGTGATTAATCTTCAGAGTTCCCCATGATCAGTAATTAAAAAGAAACTTTGTATCTATGCAATGCACAGACAGGAGTGATTTTCTACTTTGTTAAGGCTGCTTATGAGTCTTAACAAGAGTAAAAATTTTATTTAACGACTTTCCAAGAATACTGCAGAAATAAAGCCTTGATTTAAACACATCTCACCACATGTATCTTTGCTCTTGAAGGGAACCTCTCGACTCCACTGAGATGATGAAGGTTGTTACCAGGTTTATATGTTTGCCAGGACCGGTCTTTCTTTAAGTTTCTAGAAATAAAAAGTGGTTTATAGCACTGGAAGTGGGTAAAATATATGTCAATAAAGAGGAAGTATGAGAGGAAGCTGCCCTGGACCTAACTGTAACAGTTGCAATACCATGTTACACAACTTTTATGTAACTCTTGGCTGTACTGTCTAATAAAAATTATCCTCAAAGCCCTTATTTTAATTTTATAAGCTGTGCATGTGTATAATACACAATGTACTTTTATTCATATGGCAAAGATCTACAGACAAATTATTTATTATCAGCATAATTCTCTTTTATAATTTAAGCCCTTAATCTTCTATAGTATTTTCTTTTGAGCATACTCTCTCTGTGTATATCTCACTGCTTTGCAGTCATCTGGGAATTGCTATTCATGCAACCTGATTTCAACACAAAAATACTATATCTTTGTAAAAATAGTTACTTCTTTAATAGTCAAAGTGTAATCTATTCCTATAGTTATAGTCTGATGGAAAGAATTATAGTAGATTTGTACTTTTTAAGAGAGAATGTGTCATTCCTCTCTTCTCTTGCTTGAATTTTTGGAAATTAGGGTGGAGATAGGGAGCATTATTACAATAAAAAGATTTTACGTCATTAAGATTTACCAATTTAATCAGGCACATACACAGTCTACTTTATCCAGGTTATCAGATCTCATTGCTCATAATCGCTTATTTTTCACTAAGCAACATGGGAACTTGGAGGACTGAGGAGTTTCAGATCTGTATGTGTTTTTGACAGCCTGGAGGACTGAAGGACGTGTGCACTAGAACTACCAACAGAACCTCAGTGAGGTTTTTTTCACCTTAGCTTTCAGTCTCTATGTCTCCTCCCATGGCTTTCTACGTAAACTAAGGCTTTTGATAGGATACTTCAGCTATTAAGGAAATAAGTTTAAAACAATTTGAAAAAGACCTGGTAAGGATCTTGAAACCATTAAATATGGAAGAACATTTCAAAGGTATTTGACATTTTGTATGCTACCTATGTTGATTTCATTGATCACTATCATTGTATGTGAACTGTTGTTATAATTTGAATTATTCTTTACTAGAGGTGTTTTGGTTTTTTTCTTTACTGCAGGTTTAAGATTTTTAAGAGCCCTTAGACTGATACAGTTTTCAGAAATTTTGCAGTTTCTGAATATCCTTAAAACAAGGTAAGACCTTTTCTTAAATACCGAGTTAGTTGCATTGGTGACAGAACGTTAGGTTTGTGGTCCTAGTAATATATGATTTCCTTTTCTGGAAAAAAACTCACTTGTTATCTGTTCTTTAAACATTTTTCTGCTGATGAATTGTTTATTAGTGTCGGCATCTTTTGCCATGTGATCAGTAGAAGATTTTACTTGATGTGTTGTTACATTTGAAATATCTGAGCAAGACTAAGTGCTGATAATATAAAAGCAGAATGGATTACAGAGCTCTGCACTGATTAAATATTGCTTCTTTCCACATAACCAGTCCATATTCTGCTGCCTTAGAAAAACAGAAATCCCAATGCATTCAACAGAATACAGCTAAAAAGTATTTGAGAAATAATCATTGTGGCTCTATTTCAAGTTTTTTTGAACTGAGCATCTTTCTTCACATCAAAAACATATTAAAAATTAATTTTACACTCAGCTATCTTTATATTGTGTTCATTGTCATTAGCATTTCTTTCAAAGAATATTTAAAATATTCCAAGTAACCTTCTGGCTTTCACTGATTCTTCAGGCTATTAATACACGAAAGTTGTGCAGAAGCAGCACAACTTTGAACAAAAGATCACTTTGAAGGGAAAAAAAAAAGGAACATTGCAGTTGAAGACACATTGCCTTTCATTATTTCCTAAAATGCACCAGCTGAAGTATTGAATCCAGCTTCCAATAATTACTGTAAAGTCAGTTCCATTCTGAAATTCTATGCTCTCTCTGCCAGTTGATGATGCATGTGTGAAGGCTTTATATACAACTAATTCCTTTAACTTGCTATGTTAATTAGTAGTGATGGGGAAATAGATCCTTGAGGTTTGTACACACTCATTTGTACACATTTGTAAACAGCTGCTTCTTTAACCCTTAACCTTGAAACTATTCTCTTTGCTGTAAAACTCTCACACTGTCTTTAGCTCTGTGACTGTAAGGAATCCAGTTCCTGTCAAATAAAGAAATCAAAGAATGTGCAGCGAAGATGTAGTCCAGTAGCTTAGAATGCTACCAGTATGGTAAAGGAGAGTCATTTGTGCAGGAGCTCAGAATATCCAATGAGTTTGCATTTAACGCACAGCACAACCTCACCAACAGAAATGGCAGCCAATGGAAAAGCCCCATAAACTCAAAAGATTTTGGATAAGGGCTAAAAGCCCCTTCAGGAGTGGTGGATTTGTAAACTTCCAGATCCAGAAATGAAGGGATACTGCATTAATCACGTTCAGTGTGTTTAGAGCTGGCTTATTAGAGATTGACTTGTTCATTTAAATAGCATTTCTCTGGTGCAAAATTTACCCTTAGATTAGATATCATAATTTCTGTGTTTATTTATATGAATGTCCAAATATCTGTAAGCCCCAAATGTTTATTATTAGAAAGCCTGTAAAGCAGAGCTTCCTTTTATGACTGTTTTCAACTAGAGGCATTTCAGTGTGCTTGGCAAAACTAACAAGTATCTACTGACAAGATGAGAAACTGATAGAGTATAAAGGACACTGCTGTGTTTTTAATATTTGGTGCAATTAGATAAGAAATTCTGTCCTTCTTTTCCTCTTTCCCCTAGTAAAGAAGAAGATTTACTCTAAGCTATAAATTAAAATTATTCCTGGAATTTGTGACTGAGATATAAGCATTAAAGGAGCATATATTATTTACACAGTGGGCAAAAGGACCATTGCAAACACTGGAATCCAAAAGAAGAAGCTAAACAATGCAAAAAATAGAGGCAGTGAGAAGATTAGCAAAATAGTGTGGAGGTGTTAGATAATTATTTGAATATTTGAAAAACTACTCATTATATTTGAAAAGAACCAGTAAGGCAAAACAAAGTTTTATTGCTGCGTATTAAAAGACTACTCTGTCAAGGATCTATTTGTTCCCTTAATTTGAAATGAAATGTATTTTACTCAATGTTTTTTGTTCCTGTGTTTTATGAAATAGAATGAATTGTATGGTGTTCAGTTGAAAATCTCTCTCCTTCACTTCACTGTTTTCTAATATTTTTCAACAAAACTACAGAGGCTTAGGCACGGCTCACAGTAAGGGATTTTGCACAGATGTTGAAAAGAGCTTAAAGAGCAGGAAAATGTTTGTGACTAATCCATCTATATTTAGACTCTGGCAGAAACACAGGAGTATTTCATGGAGGAGAGATAAGGTACAAAGTTTAATAAATCTGCAAAAATAAAATGTACAAACCAATTAATGTAAATAGTTATTTTTAATGACTGCTGTCATTGACTTGTATTACAGTAATATGTGAGACCAACTGACACGTTACTGTATCAGGAGCCACTCCTGTTCTAAGTTCAGGTGAAGGATGATTCTTAGCCTTTCATAATGGACCTCTGCAGCAGCATGACTTCTATCATTATGTTAATCTAGGAACCTGTTGTTTAGGGTCCTGTCCTATGACTGAATTTTATCACGATATGAACCTTAATCAACCTTACCTTAAGTAAGAGAGAAATAGGGAATATGTGTTGATGTAGGTGAACACTAATTAATTCCAGAACTGCTGGAATATTATCTTATTTTTGAGTATTTTTTGTATTTCTTTCCTAGTATCCACAGTTGCCCACTTCAGTAATTGTAACTCTTAAAAATATTTTTAATGATTAATGTTCCAGGTTCATTTCTCAACTTTGTGTAGAAAATGATGCATTTTTATTGTCCTTAAAGGACAGAAATATTAATTAATTCTACTGCAAAACTACTACTACTAACACCAATAGTGAATTTTTCCTGATTTTTTTTTTTCTTTTGGAATGTATTGCTTTAGGAAGAATTGTGATTTTTCTGAGGCATTATTCTTTCTTAGAAATGTTTTCAAAAAGAAAGAACAGCTATTTCCAATACAGTTCCATGAATGTGTAAGATTGTTTAGACATAGTGTAATACATGGACTTCAGTTCCTTGTGTATTTGTTGACTATCCTTCTTAGCTTCTGAAATCATAGTTATTTTGTAAGAAGAGAGGGAGCGAGCTTTGCTTATATTTTTTCCACAAACTTTTAAGCA